CTCTCTTCCGTTCTCCTCCCTCCTCAAGTTCTGCACTGTGGACCAGTCATGTGTTCGTTATGTATGGAGATAAAATCCTATCAAAAATGTTACAAATGCGTGTTTAACGTTTTGTCCGTAACAAGCGATTTGTGTGTGTGTGTCATGAGGTTCACAAATGCGTGCTGCGCAATCTGCACGTATAAAGCAATTTGTGTATGTGTCATGCTGTTCACACAAATGCGTGCTGTACAAACTGCACATAAAACACATTTTACAAATGCTTAAAATCAATTTTTTCGTGTGCAATTCTTTAGAAAGTACGTACAAATTGTTACCTACGCACGCGTGGATCGTCTAACACACACGAATCACCTTCCGCGCACACACGGATTTTTGAGAGTGTTTTTCCGCACTCTCAAAAGTCCACGATCCACGAATGCACGGTGCGTTTAAGGACACGTGGAAAACTCGGACATCTGATTTTCCCAAACAAAAGTATTTACACAACGCTATTCCAAATGGACATTACATAAAATAAACAAAAATATCTAATACATAACACGTTTTAACAGAGAACATCCCAGCTGACAGCAGTTTGTGGTGGATGTTCTAAATTTTTATATATTGCTAGATATATGGATGGTTCGATATGATGCCACTAGGTTAATCGCAGCAGCCATGTCAGGACAAAGTCGGCCTGGCTCATCTTCTCCCGTGAGTATAAAATTAATGATCATTCTTAATCACAACATGCCTGCATTGTCTTAGTAACATGCTCTTATGATCAGTAAACCTGAACATGCGTCCTGTTCACACCAGGATCATATGCTTACAGTGTTTCGTTAGCTTAGTAGCTAGTTAACTAGTTAGTTAACTTTAGCCTTTAGCTACCAGCATTAACTCAATGTAACTTTTTGTTGCCAAATTTAACTATATGTAGTGACAGGTTTCACGTCAACCCAACCAAACCAAACACCATGACAGTACTTTAGTCAACGAGAGTTAGGCTCCAACTGTACATATGGACATTTTCTGTAGATTTAAGATAACGTTAATGCCATTGGTTGGCTGCACTGTTTATTTACACTGCACTACTTAGTCACACTCTGAATATTCTATACTTGCACATTGTGTTAGCTCATTCTGTAAATTCATTTTGAAAATAAGAAAAGTAAATGTACAGTATTATTTCACTGCACCTTATTTTATCTCATTAGTTTTTTATCTTATTATGCTGCTTATTTCAGACACTTATGTTATTTGTCATGCCTCATGCTCCATGTTCTATGTATGCACCAACTCACAACAACAAATGCCTTATAATGTGAACCCCCTTCCCTTCACTTCTTTGGCAATAAACCTGTTTCTGATTATTCCTTTTAATGTGTAGGGGATGCTGCAATAGGTAGAGGTGTGACCCGCCACATCCTCTCATCAACCATGTCCAAACTCAAACAGGGATTCAAAATGAACTTTGGTATGACTTTTTAATTGTATTTATTAAGAGAATCTATCAGTTTGATATTCAGTTCTTCTATACAAATAAAGTGAATATTATTGTTTGTCATTAGCATATGCACATATAGTTTCTTGACACAGATGTACAGTACTAATATGCCAAAAGAGAAACGATGTTTATAATTTTTTTTATTTCAGGAAACACTGCAATGACTAATGTTTGAAGGAGAAATTGATCATCTTGTCCCAAATGGATCAGCTGTGCTTCCTCAAAGCAAGATTTTTGTCATGGTTGGTCGAATGATAGGACATTCAATAATAAATAATAATGACATTCAAATTGTCAGCTGTTGTGTTTACTTGATTTCACTATAAAAGGTGAATATATGTGTCCAACTAGTGCAAGTTGATTATATTAATTGTACTCAAGAACAATAACATTCAATTTGATACAGACTCTGGTTACCTGATAAGTTTATGATTAGTGTCTATATGCACAAGGTACTTGGGACAGGGCACAGAATACGTTCGGCGGACAACACATCCCAACTGAGTCATTCTTGACAGAATTCCCAAGCTGTCCACACGATGCATTGAAGCTCTGACTCGGTCCCATCCAAGATGATATCCTTGTGCTTTTAGTGTCCCTTTCACTAATCTATAGCCTGCATGCGGCCTCCGGTCCTTAATTCCAATGATCAGTTCATCAAGCTCGGCATCTGTACATGAACTGTAAAGTCCGCGGACAGACAAGTTGTTCTCTGCCATCCTCCTGAACAGTGTGGCAGGAGATACTCCCCACAGCCTTGAAATAGTAGGAACCGACAGTCCGATTTCCAGCAGATGAGCAAGTTGGTCAGTTGGTATTATTATATTAGGCCGTCCCTTTTTGGTATGCCTTTCGACTTCAACAACTTCAGATGCTTCATGATTGTTGATGTGGTCCTGGATAGCGTTGCGTAAATCAGTGAGCCTGTCTGTAATATCCTGTGACATCTGAATATGTTG